AAAAAAAAAAAAAAAAAAAAAAAAAAAAAAAAAAACCAAAAAACTGAGAGGGAATGTAGAGCGTCTCCTTGCCTAAAATCTACAGACAACGCTGAATGATAACTATGAAAAGGGAAAAGAAAATGCTGGAAACCTCCATTGACACTTTATTGGTATTTCTGTTGTGCATGCCCTTCCCAAGTAAATACCAGCATTGTCACGAGAGTTGATGAGTAGTCTGTAAAAGAGATACCAAAAGTTTACTTTAGAGCTGCTGAAGGGTCGATGAGCGTTGTATGAAAGAGATACTAAAAATGAACTTTCCTTCTACAACAAAAAGAAATAATTCCATTTGACTTCTCTGATTTTAAGTAGCCTGGATTTCCTATTATAATATGAGAAATCTCTAACAAAATCCACTTTGACTTAATTATTTTATTGATGGGTTGTTACTGCTACCACTGCTTGTTTGAGCTCATTCATTATAGGATTATCTAAAAGTGACACACTCAATTAGTATTAGAAAAGTTACAATGTTTGAGAAATTGGGAGAGATGCTTTGGTTAACACCTGGTGGCCTCTAAGTGATTATTTATAGAGGTGGGTGTTATATGCTAACCATGTCCTATAGGCTGAGTCTGAGATGGGTAGAAAGTTTAGAAGGGCCGCATGAGCCCTCAGTGACTCCTAGAAGGAGCTGGCAAGAGTGGAAGAGCCAAGGGCTGGGCTCCTTTTCATTTTCCCCAGGCCTGTTAAAAATTTTAGCTCAGATCATTTAATTCCTGGTACATTTCTTAATGTTCTTGTCTATGCACAGCACTATGGAAGAACATAAGGACAGATGAAGTACAGAACCTGTTCTCTGGTCTCTATGACATATGGCCTGAAATTTCTTATTTAGTCTCGTGTGTATTTTAATAGTTCACATTTTCACAACTAATTTTCAGGGTCTGAAAAAGCAGCTAGTGGTTTTTAAGGAAACCATGTAGGTATTCATTTGTTTACAGGGACTCAGAAGTGTGTCTCTGCTGATAAGAGCTGGTATAGTAACTCAAGGGGGTAGATGCTTTCTCCATTTGGAGTGAGTAAAGGCAGGGAAAAAATTTAATTTCGCACTTTAGGAGGCTGAGGTGGGTGGATCACCTGAGGTCAGGAGTTTGAGGCCAGCCTGGCCAACAAGGTAAAACCCTGTGTCTACTAAAAATACAAAAAATTTAAAAAAATTAGCTGGCTGTGGTGGCATGCGCCTGTAGTCCCAGCTACTCAGGAGGCTAAAGCAGGAGAACTGCTTGAGCCCAGGAGGTGGAGGATGCAGTGAGTCCAGATCATGCCACTGCATTCCAGCCTGGGTGACAGAGCAAGACTCTGTCTCAAAAGACCTATATATATATATCTGTGTGTGTATATATCTGTGTGTATAGGTGTGTATATATGTATATATATGTATTTATATATGTGTGTATATGTATATATGTGTATATGCATGTGTGTATATTTGTGTATGTATATATGCATATATATGTGTATATATGCATGTGTGTATATGTATGTGTATATATGTCTATGTACGTGTATATATGTGTGTATATAGTGTACATGTGTATATATGTATATATGTATGTATATGTGTGTGTATATATGTGTGTGTGTGTGTGTGTGTGTGTAATTTCATAAAAACTTTATAGACCCTAGTCATTTCAGGCTCCCAGTGAAGGTGAAATAGTAGCTGGAATTGTTCTTGGGAGTCTGATGACAGTGAGCCACAGTGATTTTTAAGAAATGAAACCCAGTTCAGAGACTGGAGGTTTTTCTTTTTAAAACTTGCTATTAGTGTCAAAACTGTTATTACCATTAATTTACTGTATCAGCCAGACTAAGACATTACTTTTTTTCTGTTGACATTAAAAATACAGGAATAATTACAAGAATGTTAAATGCCAAGATAAGTAATTTGCTTTTCATGAATATGCTATTATTATAATAATTCTTTATTTGTAAATTTTGGACTGGAACTCATTTCTTAAAATAGAGGATCTGTATTACCAGCAAATATGGTACTGATATAAACAACCCAAACTTGGAAAGGCACAAAATAGAAGGATTTAAGATACAAATTCTGGTACAATAAGATTGGTATGCAGCATACTATGTAACTTATAGGGGGTATTCCATACATGTTTCTGAGTTAAATAAATGTATGAATGAATGGATGTATGAGGAAGACTTATTCACAGAACCTCTGGCATCTGCAAAGGATATGTATGATAAAGCCTAAATCCCCCACCCCATATACGTGTGTGTGTGTGTGTGTGTGTGTGTGTTAGACAGATAGATAATAAATAGATAGCCTTAGCCTTTTATTGCTTATGGTATTAGGTACAAGAGTTGATTACAACGTGGTGTTTGGTGGATCAAATTCAGTACTCAGATGTAGTGTGCTTTGCCCTTAACAATGTTTTAAAATTTATTTTAGGGAAGGCGTGAGCTCTTGTTTGCCAGTCACACCTCACAACGCTGCTCCTTCGCCCTTCCTTAACCTGACTCATACATTTATGCAGCTCATCTGGCCCCAGGGAACATTTGAATTTGATCCTTGTGCTATAGTCTTTTTTTAAGCAGAGTCTCACTCTTGCCCATGCTGGAGTGCAGTGGCATGATCATGGCTCACTGTAACCTCGAATTCCTGGGCTCAAGCAATCCTCCCACCTCAGCCCTCCAGATAGCTGGGACTACAGGTGTATGCCACCATGCCCCACTAATTTTTAAATTTTTTGTAGAGATGCAGTCTTGCTCTGTTGCCCAGACTGGAGTGCAGTAGCATGATCATGACTCACTGTAACCTCAAACTCCTGGGCTCAAGAGACCCTCTTGCCTTGGCCTACCAAGGTGCTGGGTTTAGAGGCATAAGCCACCATGCCTGGCCATAGTCTTTAAGTCTCCCCAAGTGACCTCATTTTTGACATCAAGGATGGCAATATAAAATTGAAACCCTTGCACTCTGTCTCTGGGTGGAAAGTAGTGACGGTGATGATGATGATGATAGTGAAGAAGATGATGAAGATGATGCTATTGTCTAAAAGTTGTATAGCAGGTTGAATTGCTTTTTCAATGTCCTTGCACAGCTATTCTACCCATTTTATTTATTTATTTATGCATTTATTTATTTTCGAGATGGAGTCTCACTCACTCTGTTGCTCAGGCTGGAGTGCAATGCTGTGATCTTGACTCACTATAACCTCCGCCTCCTGGATTCAAGTGATTCTCCTGCCTCAGCCTCCCAAGTAGCTGGGACTACAGGCGTGTGCTACAACACCCGGCTAATTTTTGCATTTTTAGTAGAGATGGTTTCACCATGTTGGCCAGGCTGGTCTCAAATTCCTGACCTCAAGTGATCCACATGCCTTGGCCTCCCCACACCCATTTTAACCACACAAGAAGGTAGTACTATAGCCATTTTATACATAAAGATATAGATATAGACAAGGGCCTAAAAAATTAGAATATGAACCTTTCCCATGGTCTCACAGGAGTTGGTAGGCACTAGAATGAAGCCTGGGGCTAGTCTCTTTCTCCTGGTCATCGCTGTATCATTCACAATAGGAATGTCCACATGATGCAGTCATTTTGCTTCATTTTCCGTTGGTCAGGGTGTGTCATTGTAGAGAAACTGAGGTCTACCAACATCCCTCTAAGGCCTGGGACAATGCCAGTTGCCAGAATTGTACTTGTGACAAGGCCATCTAGATTTATGATAGGCACTCTCAGCCCCCTACTCTACTGCTGTCTCTAGGCTTTCCCAGCAAGCGGAAAGTGTAGTGGTGTCCATGGCTATATTAGTTAGCTTTTGGTGGTAACAGATCACCTCAAAACTTGGTGGCTTAAAATGACAAACATTTATTATCTCACAGTCTCTGAGGGTCAGGAATCAGGAAGCAGCCCAGGTGGATGATTGTTACTCGGTCTCTCATGAA